AATTGGCGTGATGAGGGGAATTATTTTTGGAGAAGATTTGGGTGTAGATTATGGGTATAAATTTTTTAAAATTAAGTAATTATACTAATTAATAATTAGTGGGGGCATATATAGTTTTTATGCCCATTAGATTTATCTCAAATATTATTTATAAATAAATGATTTATCAAGAATTAAAATCCCAATGAACGGTGTTTGACATATAGTCCTATATTAATTTATAAAGGTTTAACTGTATGTTGAATGTTGAGATTCTATAAAATGATTTGACTTTTCTTTAGCTTTATTCTTTCCTTTTTTTATATTATTTTTAACTGTATTTTTACTATAGAGTAAACTGCAAAAAGTTATCCATGAGTAATCTCCAAATAACGAAAACCCCAATGATAAATAAACCTGAAATTATTTATATTGCACACTCGGCCCATTATCGATTTGAGTGCTGATCTATTATAAAAAGACACAAATACACCGGGGTTTTGCAAATAATAAATTCTTATATTTTATAAATATTTTAATTATTTTATTTTCGTTATTTCTATTTTTATTATCAGATAATTTCTATATATATTTTAAATTATCTCCACATCAAAAGAAAACTTAAATTCCATTATTATGTATTTCTTTATTTTGTAATTAAAAAACCCTATGCTTAATTGGACAAAAAACACTTCGCCCCCCACAAATTTCAAAATTCGCACTTTCTCCACTAGAAATTCAAAAAAGGAATGTCCCCTTTGTAAATTTTGTTTTTGTTGCACTTTGCCCCAAATCAAATTTCCGGCGGATTTTTTACTGAAATTAAAAATCTCCTTCAACTTAGAGGCTATTATCGTCATTTCGCCTCTCCCACCACATCCCTAAAATCCCGAATATCATTCTCTTTGTTACAGCAAGAAGTCAAAAAACTTAACTCTCATTTCATCAATCAATTTGAGAACACACCCAAGGTGAGTTGTGCAAATTTTGGTCCCAAAACTGCGAGAATCTTTCATTTTCTTCTTCGATTAAGAAGCCATTACAGTATTTCCGACTTAGTGGTCCATTTTCATTCAGGTGTAAAATTGAGTTAGAAAGTGGACCATCTTAGGTGTTATTTGGAAAGTGGACCATTTTGACAATTGTAATTTAGAAATGATGTCCTCAAGAGAAATTCATTATGCATGTCTGTTGAGTTAGGTCATTTTCATTCAGGTGTAAAATTGAGGTATTATCACAGTTTAGGAGGAGCACCTTGGGACTGTGGTGGGATGAAAGAATTGCTGACTGATTTTGATGCAATGAATCTTGTGGAATTTTGTTGATGAAAATAGGGTGGTTGGCGTGTGAAAATGACAATAATAGCCTTTAAGTTGCAGGAGTTTTTTCAATTCCGGTAAAAAAATCCTCCGGAAATTTGACTTTGGGGCAAATTGCAACAATACCTGAATTTACAAGGGGATGTCTCTTTTTTGAATTTCTAGGGAGGAAAGTGCGAATCTTGAAATTTCAAGGGGGGCGAAGTGCATTTTGTCTTACTTAATTTGATGACCAAATTTTTAATATATTTTTTAATTTAATTGTTACTAATTTGTTTAAATAATATTTTATTTTCTAAAGAATCAAATTAAAAGGAAAATATAATATATATATATATATATATATATATATATATATATATATATATATATATATATATATATATATATATATATATATATATATATATATATATATATATATATATATATATATATATATATATATATATATATATATATAACAGGGGGATTTTTGCTAGTTTATTTATCACAGAGGAGTTTTCCCTATTTGGAGATTACAGATGCTTCTCGTGTCTCATAACTTGAAAAAATAAAATAAAATAAAATAATCTCTTGGTTAGCTAAATTTTTAAATTTTAATGACTCCATAAATAATCCAACTAGAAGCTAAAAATTGAAGCTATTAATTTAGAAAAATATATTTATTAATATTCTAGATTACAGAGGAACAAAGTACAAAGGCTTTACAACGAGTCTTTGTTAACATCTTACGTCTTTTCGTTTCGTCGTCTGGCTTATATTCTTCATGAAGCATTCAGACCGAGTGACTTTATGAAATTACGTCGATACTTTCACATATTATGTGTAATCTAGGAGACAACTCTATTTTCCCGAGGGGAATCTTTAGAATATTCAATGTCTTGGAAGATATGATTTGTATTGAAAGACAAGTTCTCATGATTGCTTTGACCATAAAAATGTGCTCCTAAGTGTGTAAATATACCTTGTAAGACAAACTAGGGAAAATGCCGCCTGCCCGTAAAATAGACAAACAAAGATGAAAATATCAAACTAATGTAACCATTATTAGCCGTTTTTCAATTCAATCTACAAAAAGCTATGAACATAGTTTAAAATAGTGTTTAAATTAACAATTATTTGCACTTGATTCGAGTCGAGCCGAACACGCATTTGTACAAGTTTGTTTGAATGTTTATCAAGCTTTTGACAGTTGTGTTTAACAAATCAGGCTCTTAGGTTTCTACGTAATTCTCTTGAACGCCTTGGTCTGCATTATTTATCCAAAATATACGACAAGAGAATGGAAGGCCGGATTATTTTTTTAATTATCTGTGATACCAAAATCATCCGTCTCGATTGGATTACCATATTCATGAGATTCCTATTCAAAAAAAAGTCAATCAATGATTGCCACGCGTACACAGGGGATTCGTTCATTTCGCGTCATCCATATGCCAGCAAGACGCCTAATCATGAGATAAACTCGTTTCAAAATGATCCAATCACATCGTGCCATGTATTTAGGGGGATGCCACATGTCGTCCATTTGGCGCAAATCTACGTCATGACTCTCTTTCATTCCTCTATAAAAGAAACTCTTAATTTCCCCATTGTAGTATCCATTGCTTTCCTTCAACTTCTTTCTTCTACAAAGAAATGTTTGTTTCAAGTTGTTTAGAAGAACTTTTGAGGGTAAATGAGGTAATTAGCACCTCTTATACTTTGTACATTACAATCTTCAAATTTCATTAGAAGGGTTGTTTTTATTTAAAATGTTTGAATTATTTTCTTTGTGCAGGGGAAACAAGCAATCGAAGATTCTCAGGATGATCGATTCCAAAAATATGTTTGTCCAATGATTACCTTGATCGTTGATATCTTTTATAAGATCCTCGAGAAATAATAGTCTTGTCTCAACTTTTTTCATCAAGAAGTCTCTTGACTGAGGATTCTTGTCTTTTTAAATACTGTTTCTTGATCCTATTCGCTTTTCCATAAATGGGGGCGGTGGATGGTCCCCCTTGCATGCCTGGACGACACTCGTGAATCCTTCGGGATCTAAGTTTTTAATCAATAACCATTTCTCTTCCTCTTATATTTTTCCTAAATCAGATTATTTCATTGATTCCCAATTAATTACCCAACATATATTCATAATTAAAGAAAAAAAAAGTAAGTCTTGTCTTTTTTACCCTTTATACTATTACATATTTTGTCTTGAATTAAGAAAGGTTTCTTCTTCTAATGTTTTTGGCAATTAACAAAGTTTTTTGTGGCTTTCAGAAAAAAGAGAAGCTTTTTAGATCTTTGTTGAGGCGGTAAATCTGAAAATTGATTGAAATTTCAATCGTAACCAATCTGGACATTAAATTTCCCCGAAACAATGGTGGACAGTTGGACATCAACGAAATAATGCGAATACGGAAAAGCTAAGAAGAAGAAAAACGGTTGTTCGATAAAAAAATGGTCTTGAAGGAATCACGTGTGTCGTGCAGGGTTGCAAGGGGAACCATCCGGCGCCCCCGTTTATGAAGAAGGTAATAGGAACAAGAAAAAGTATGTAAAAAGACAAGGATTCCCAATCAAGACACTTCTTGATGTAAAATATAGAGGCAACACTATTGTTTTAGAGCTCTATATATATCAATGTCGATTTAATAATGAAAAGTCGTGGATTTTAATTTATTGATTGTAACCAAGTAGCGTTTTCTCTTTGATTTTTACGCCTTTATATAAAACGCACCTCTTAATCGAAAAGGTCGATGATTTGAAATTAAGTGGATTAATCCTTCACCTTATACGGCTTTTTTCATATTTGTCCTAAGCTGAATTCAAAAAAGCGGGTTGGTGTGCCAAAAGAGGCAAAGTACATGTGACAAAATACTATTAACCCAATAATGAAAGTTGCAGTAGAATCTCGATAAAGTAATACCCAATAAATTAATAACTTCGCTTAAATAATAAATTTTCCCGGTCCCGACTCGGGGACAACGTGCTAAATTAACAATTTGCTAAATTTATAAGATAATACACATTCAAAAATTTCAAGAAGCCCCATATAATATATAAATTAATAATTCATAAAAATAATTCTTAAATTACATGGTACAATACATATTTTACAGATCTATGAAGGTTTAATAAAATATAATTTAATTGCCGTTTGTTTCTTTTGAAGTTCACATTACCATCAATCTCGTGCTCACTTTTCTTAACATGGTTAGAACTTATGGTATAGCTTTCGCATAACTCAACATGAAATTGTTCAATATTGTTGTTGCTTTAAGAGCTTCCTTTCCTGAAACAAGCTCTATAATGTATTGAACTAATGGTACAATGAATATTACATACGTAAAAAATTTAAAAAAATGTATATATTGAAAATATTAATAAAAACAATTTCATAAATTAATAAATTATTAATTAATGTATAAATTAATAATTATTAATTTATCGATAAGTTAATATTTCGCTAAATTAATGGAATTGATGGTCAAACTGTATTAATTTATATAGAGGTTTAACTGTAATTATCATTTGTAATGGTGACATACTGAAGTTGATGCATTTAAAACAGCTGGGGCTGAATGAATTGTTCTAATCTGCATGAAAAATTTATCAAAGTAGCATAAAAAATCTCTCTTTTCTCGCACTTCTGAATAGCGGACTCGGAAGGAAAAATCTCTCTTTTTCTCTTCTATTTATTTTATTTATTTATTTTTATATGGATTTGTTTACGTATATCTGAAACCCCATTTTTTATTCAGGAGATTTGTTTTATTTTGATTAAAAAACTTTCGTAAATGTTGACCAGAAGCATTGTTCAGAATACCAATTTGATTACCTAGAGAGAGAGAGGAATATTAGAGAATATTATATTATAGAAATCTCCTAATATTAGGATTCTAGTATGATTCGGTTACCTAGATTAGTTAGGATTTAGTTACCTAGTCAAACTCTATTACCTTGCAATATTTCTCTATATATATTCCATGTAATCAACCCATAACACAATGGGGGTTTCTATTCTATCTTTCTCTCCTTCTCCAATTCTATTCTTCCTATATGGTATCAGAGCACCAGGTTTAGGTTTTTTAACCTAGCCGCCTTCCTTCTCCATGGCGGTGATAACCTAGCCGCCTTTCTTCTCCATGGCGGTGACCACCCAATCTTCTCCCTCCCCCGGTGGTGGTACTCTTATATTTTTCTTTACTTTTTTTCTTTTTCTATCTTCTTCTTCTTCTCCTTCTCCATGGCCGTCGCCTCTTCTCCTCTCCATGGCCGGCAAACACCACCCAATCTTCTTCCTCCCCGGTGGTGCATCTTCTCTATCTCTTTCTTTTTCTTCTTCTTCTTCTTCTTCTCCATGGCCTAAAACCTAGCCGCCGCTTCTCTTCTTCTACATGGCCGGCGACCACCAAACCGAATTTTCTCCCTCTCTCGGTGGTTGGTGTATCTTCTCTATCTTTTTCTTCTTCTTCTTCTTCTTCTTCTCCATGGCCTAAAACGTAGCCGCTGCCTCTCTTCTTCTCCATGGCCGGCGACCCCTCTCATATCTTCTCCCTCTCTCTCTCTCTCGATTCATACACAAAAAAAAAAAAAAAAAAAAGAAAAAAAAAAAATCTTATTTTTCTTTATTATTACTATTATTATTTTTTTTTTAAATTTGGCAGATATTTCAACAGAGGAATTCTCTCTAGCGATGTGTTTCGCGGTTTCTGTCCAGTCTTCACGTTTGAAGTTTCCAGTCTTCACGTTTGAAGTTTATTCGTTCCGACTACGGGAGCGTGCTAGCAAGTGAATGTCCAGTCTTCACGTTCGTCACGTTTCGACTGCGGGGGCGTATTAGAGAATATTATATTATAGAAATCTCCTAATATTAGGATTCTAGTATGATTCGGTTACCTAGATTAGTTAGGATTTAGTTACCTAGTCAAACTCTATTACCTTGCAATATTTCTCTATATATATTCCATGTAATCAACCCATAACACAATGGGGGTTTCTATTCTATCTTTCTCTCCTTCTCCAATTCTATTCTTCCTATAAGGAAGAAGAAAAGAGCAATTTAGAGATGGCGGCCTATGCAGCTCTACTTTCTCTCAAGTATATCATCCAACAAATTCAGCTTCATCCTCGCCCTCCAATTTCTCTTCACCAAAACCAGGCCGATTCTCTCACCGACAACCTCAATTTCTTGCAAGATTTTCTTGAAGGTTATTCGTATGGCAGCAGCATCAGCAGAGAAGCAGTAGATGTTTTGGAAAGTCGTATTAAGAATGCAGCTCTTGCGGCAGAAGATCTAATCGAAACCCGAGTTGTCGATCAAATTCTCGTTGGTGAAAGAGTCAGCTCCAGTGACTTCCATCAAGATCTGGAGATGGTAATCCAAGACATGGTTTTCATCAAGAAAGATGTGATGGAAATTAAAGAGAATAATATTGGAATTGAAGATCACCTGCACATAAATTCTTCGACACTTGGTGGTGCCGGTTCATCAAGCTCACCTTCGACGAGGCAGAACGCCATGGTTGGTTTTGATGATCTCTTAATTGAAGTCATGGATAAGCTCAGTGAACAACAATCCAATCTCCGCATCATCCCGATTGTTGGCATGGGCGGCATTGGTAAGACTACTCTTGCTAGAAATGTTTATGCTAAGCCACTCATTATGCATCACTTTGATATTCGAGCTTGGGTTACAGTATCTCAAAACTACAATGTGCAAGATATTCTTATAGAAATTCTTCTTTGTATTAGCAAAGACGAGAGCCTGGAAAGCTTGAGTGCGAAAAGCGAAGGTGAATTAGGTGAAAGAGTACACAAAAGTTTATGGGGCAGGAGATATTGGATTGTATTGGATGATATTTGGAGTGCTGAGGCATGGGATAAAGTGAATCTCTTCTTTCCAGAAAATGGTCAAAGAAGCAGAATAATGATAACCACTAGGGTATCAGACGTTGCTTCGATTGGCTCTCACGGCATTGTGATGGATTTCTTAAATGAGGAGAAGAGTTGGGATCTACTGTGCAGATCTGTATTTGAAGATGAAGACGATTGCCCTCCTGAATTGGAGGAAATAGGAAAGAAGATTGCCAAAAATTGCGAAGGACTTCCTTTGTCAATAGTTGTGATTGGAGGACACCTAGCGAAGTCTAAGCGCACAAGAGAACATTGGGAATATATTTCAGAAAACACAAACACAATTGTAAATTTGGAAGACAACGAGCGTTGCTTAAAAGTATTACAATTGAGTTATAACCATTTGCCGGTACATCTAAAGCCATGTTTTCTTTATATGGGAGTTTTTCCAGAGGACAACAAGATCCGTGTCTCATGTCTCGTAAAACTATGGGTTTCTGAAGGATTTGTGAAACCAATTAACGGCAAAAGCTTGGAAGTGGTTTCGGGAGAGTACTTGCAGGAGCTCTGTGATAGAAACCTGATTTCCGTTCATAAAAGGGGGTCTTATGGAAATATCAAGTTTTGCAGCATCCATGATCTCTTGAGGGATTTATGCTTGAGAGAAGCTGAGAGAGAGAAGTTCTTTTATGTCACAAGATTACATGAACCTACCATTCCGCAGGGCATAAATACCCAACGCCGCATTGGTATTCACCAAAGCATGTCGAAGAAGGATTATCACCATGATCCAGTCCTTCATACGTTGCAATATGTGCCTCTTGTTCGTTCTTTGATTTGCAATTTTGAAGAAGGTTTACCATTACTTGATTTTAGATTGTTGAGGGTGCTGAAAGTCGATGATAAAAAGTTACTTAACGATAACAACAGACAATACGAGTATTCCGTAGAAGTTGTCTTTCGGCTAGTTAACCTGAGGTTCATTGCTATCCAATCTGATGGGCCTAAAAGTTCCGGATTTCCTTCTTCAGTCAATCTCCTTTGGAATCTACAGACTCTAGTTGTAAATGGTACCTGGGACGTTGTTGCACCATGTGAAATTTGGAACATGACTCAACTTAAGCATGTTAATTTCGATCGACTTGAGCTGCCTGACCCTCCTACCGGTGGGAAAGATGACGAGTTTGTTTTGGGGAATCTGCAAACACTCACTAATATAAGAAATTTCAAATGTGGAAAAGAGATAGTAAAGAGAATCCCCAATATTAATAAATTACAAATATTTTACTATGAGGAACCTCAGGGATTTTTGAGTTACTGTCTCGACAATCTTGGCCATCTACATAAACTCGAGTCCTTGCGTTTCTCCCTTAATCCCATAAATAAGCCATCCCTGAATGATTTGGTGGAGAATTTCATCCTCCCCAATTCCCTCAAGAAGTTGACTTTGGAGGGGACCTATCTCAAATGGGAAGAAATGAACACAAAGATAGGTTTGTTACCCAATCTTCAAGTCCTCAAACTGAAGGCAAGTTCCTTTGTAGGGGCCGAGTGGGAAACGGTTGAAGGGCAATTTTGCAACCTTAGATACTTGCTAATCAACATGTGTAGTGATCTGGAATGGTGGACGACAGATAGCTCCAGCTTTCCGCGCCTCGAGCATCTTGTCCTTCAACAATTAGATAAGTTGAATGAGATCCCTTCAGGTATTGGAGAAATACCAACTCTTCAATCGATTGAGTTGAATCTGTGTCACGACGATGCCGTTATTTCTGCTAAAAGTATATTCGATGAACAAGAGGATCTTGGCCTTCGAGTTCGAGTTGTCGCTCGGGATTCACACTTAGAGAGCCTGGCTGGTCCCAACTTTCAAGTTGAAACTTGGTGAGAACTCAATCTTCATAACATATGTGTGTGTGAGTGTGTGTGTGTATATTTATTTTTAGTCCATGCACATTTCATTTTGAGTTTCTACTTTTGTTGTTGTATTTTACTTTTGATTGTTGTCTCTAACGTTGTACCGCCTTACCGCAAGGTATTCTGAACCTACACACGGAGCATAAATCAAATAATGGAGGCCTGTGAGCCGATCGCTTGTCGCGTTATTGAACTTAGATTGACAATTTGGTATGTTGGAATTTACAATTCATTGTTTCTTCTTGAGAGTCGTTTTAATGTTGAAGATACCTTCTTCCTGTCATTCGTTTGGCGTGAAATTTAGCCTCCAGTTAATTTATTGGAAGCATTTGTGTGAGCTTGTAAACAATTTCTACTTTGGTTTTCTTTCATGTAATTTCTTTTTGAGGCTTTGTGTAATAGTTGGTTTTTCAACATTTGAACTGGATTTTATTCTTCGTTATAGGGTTCTTTGTGTTAGGCCCACAATGTTCTTAACGAGGTCCCTTTGTACTTTTTTTTTTCTATATGGAATAAAATCTTTTTTGGCCAAAAAAAAGAGACTCAATGATTGTAATATTGTGTCTTTATTTAAATTGATTTCGTTGGGACCCAACTGCTCGATTCTACAAATCTTGAAAAAAGCTCGTAAATGATGAAACATCACGAATTTATGATTTGTTTGACGCAATCGATATTTGTTGTGATATATTCCATTGAACCAAAAAGATTGCGTCAAAATTCACACCGTAAGGGGATTGTGTAAGACGGCTACAAACTTCAGGGGAGTTTTGGTCATTATGGATACGTGAGGGTTTTTCTTTTCTTTCGTAAATTGACCTAAGTTCAGAGGCTTTCTCGTAATTTACCCTTAATTTTTTCATCTAATAAGTAGTCGGTTAAGCATTCATACAGAGATATAAAATCTAATTATCATCTGTATTAGTGACAGTATAGAACAATAGAACAATGCCATGTGCACCGTATTGCAATTTTACAACCTCTCTTGGTAACTTATTACTATCTCTGTAGCACATTAAATTGATTGAAGAAGAGTTTCGAAAGTAGCACGAAACAATTTATTTTTCGTTAATTCATTTTTCTTTTGTATCAATTCTGTTAGGGTGAATTACAGTTTGCACCCCTATACTATCGAAAATGTCACATTCACCCCTTTGTACTATCAAAATCTACAAATACCCCCCCCCCCCCCTCCCTCCCCCCGACGTTAACTATTCTGTGTTAGTTAAAGCTGACGTGGCATAATGACCACATTTATTTCATTCTTTGGACTTTTTTGCCCCTTTACCGTGTGTGTGTGTGTGTGTGTGTGTATATATATATATATATATATATATATATATATATATATATATAATTATATATAATTATATAAGATAAAATACAATTTGAGTTTTAAATTGAAAAAAATTCAGTAAAAAATAAAATAATTTATCATAGAAATTTAGTAAACTATATAATCTATAAATATTAAAAAAATATAAAGTTGTAAAATTTCATATTTCAAATAATACAGATTTTTTTTCTTTATTATCAAATATTTATTTTAATAACATATTTTTTTCGTTTTCTTTTTTCCAAAAAAATCAAATTTTAACCTCGCTCTAAACTATGCATTAAATCCAGCCCTCAATACACATCTCGTATCTATTCCATTTTTATTTTCCCTTTTCTTAATTGTTTTTCACTTTCACCATCTTACCGAGCTCAATCGCATCACCATTACAACAACTGGAGGTCGAAGAATCCCAAAAGCTTCCTCCGCTTCCAAAAATCTACGGCCTAAACTCCTAATTTCATTTCAGAACTTTGTTCTCTTCTCTCTTCAAGGTTTGCTTATAATTCTCCATGGAAGAACTCACCTTGGTCAGCAGGAGATGTTGTTGTGACGCGTCTTTATCCACGACATCGGAAGTTAGCGGCGGCGGCGGCACGTCTTCATCCGCCGTACCCATGGCGTGATGGTGTATTGTTTCGATAGGGGGGTCGGTGGTGGGGTGGTAAAACCGATCATCTTATTCTCGGGTTTCAAGATTTTGGTTGTGGATGGTCAGATGGTGGCTGTGGGAGAAATAGAAAACCTGGTATGTAGGCAACAGGTTTGGTTTGTGTACGAAGAGAGCGGAAGATGAACAGCAATTTGGAGGAGAAAAAAAATGGAATAAATTTTATTAAAATGTGAGGATATAAAAGTAAATTCATTGTAATTTTTAACGGTGTCAAGTTTCTGTACAGGGACTGTTAAAATTAGGGGGGGTTTTGTAGTTTTTTATAGTATAGGGGGGTGAATGTGACCTTTTCGATAGCACAGGGGTGCAAACTGTAATTCACCCATTCTGTTATATTTCGGACGAGATTCCTCTGTTTCATCAAGATCAGCTAATTGAAATACTAAATTGTGTCAGCCTTTTATGTATTTTTTGATTTTCTTTTTTTTTTTTTTAAGTTTTTTTTTTCATTGTATTTTTTTTTATTAAATTTCAGATGCTAAATAAATAAAATAATCTCTTGGTTAGCTAAATAGAGCTATTTGCACAGACCCCCTATGTAAGCTGTAATGGCTAAAAAAGCCCCATGTTAAAACAATTAACAATTAACCCTCTATGTTACATTGCATTTTATTTAGTTCACTGCTCCCTAGTGGAAATAAATATACTGACTAAACGGAAGTGACTATACTACCCTTCAATTAATAACATAAAATGAGAATTAATATATAATAGAGGCCAAATTGCAATTTTACTTAACTTCTGAAACTTAAATCAGGGAACTGAATTGTGACTTTTCCAAACATAAAAGTCGAATTGGATTTAAATATAATTAATCCAAAACTTTGGATCAAATTGGAATTTTTAAAATTTCTTAAATAAAGAAAAAAACGCATTTTTTAATGGAAAAAATATGAAAAAGAAAAGAGAGAAAATTGCATCTTCCCCCGTTGAAATTACCATAACCACCGGCAAACTCCCACCTCCACCACCGGCAATCACCTCGTCAAGTCGCCGCCTCCAAACAGAGAGAATGAACATGTCTTCCCCGAAATTCTTCTTCCCCATTAAAATCACCACGACCACCAAACTCAGACCGCCGCCGCGTCCTTCCCCCACACGCCTCCTCCGCTCTTCTCGTCCCCTCCACCGTCAACTTCTCCTTACCAGTTCCACACCAGCCGATTCTTCTTTCGCAATGAAATTGATTTTTTACATATTTTTTTAATTTCTATTCTATAAAATCAATTCTATGTTACAAATATTTCATTATTATTAAATACATTTTTAATAACTCGAACAAGCTTCTCACATAATTCTCCGGCAACATCCCTCGGGACGTTTTCATAATATCACATTATATAGGTGAATTTTCGTAATTAGACATTATCTCAGGGAGGTTCTTGTAATTTATCCTTTTTTTAAATGCCAGAAGGGTAAAACAGACAAAATGCATTTTATGTGAGTTTAAAACACTGGTCATAGGGAGATTTTTATAGCTATCCAAACATGAGGGGCATTTTCATAATTAGACCTTACCTCAGGGGGTTTCTCATAATTTGCCCTATATAATTTTAATTAAGGGGTTAATAAGCAATACCCGCTAGTTTAGAAAATATTTTGAACTAAACCTATTAGACTTTAAAGTCTTTTTCCTAAACCATAAATCTCATTTTAAATTAGTGAGACCCCTTGGACCTATGTGGAAAGACAAAAATACTCTTAATAAAAATATATAACTATAGTCATATTCATATTTACGCTGATAATTGTTCTTGAAAAAATGTATGCATGTGATTGTATTTGATTTTATTGTAAGCTACAAGTTAATTATAATAACATTTTTTAAATAATAATTTTTCGTTTGATGGTCCTTATGTCGTCAAAGAAGCATACACAAATGGAGCGTACAAGTTGGTTGCCGAACATGGTTTGAGAATTGGTCCGATAAATGGAAAGTTTTTGAAGCGGTACTACGCATGAAGCAGAGGAGAAGGTTCCTGGCTCGCATGAGCTGAAACTATGCACGGCTTAATAAAAAAAATTCTATGTTTTTTCTTTGAACTACGTTATGACTTGATCCATTCGGGGTACGTAGGCAGCTTAGGATATTCTCTAAGTCCAGTCTATTCCTAACAAAAAAAAAAAAAAAAAAACCTATCTTTTTTCTTTGGACGTTATGACTTGATTCCATTCGGGGTACATAGGCAGCTTAGATATTCTCTAAGTTCAGTCCATTCCTAAAAACAAAAAAAAATCTATCTTTTATCTTTGAACTACGTTATGACTTGATCCCATTCGGGGTACGTAGGCAGCTTAGATATATTGTCATAGAGAGAAGAATCAGAGGATTAAAATAGAGATTGTAACCCACAATTTATTTATTTTAATTCAATAAAAAAATTATCTTTGTTCAATTTTTCTTGTTTGTTTATATCGCAGATAAGAATTTTTTGTTGCAGTAACTTCAACCAAATTTTTGACACCTTCAAGAAGAGGATCCATGGCTTTCATTAAGCAGCAATAGCAAAATCAAAACAAAAAAAATTAGTTTTAGTGCAAATCAACAAAAATTGAAGAAACATCAAAACACTCGAATCAACAAACACTATGAGAGAGAGAGAGAGAGAGAGAGAGAGAGAGAGAGAGAGAGAGAGAGAGAGAGAGAGAGAGGCCATAGCTGCGAAATGCTACAAATTTTAGACCAACCCGCCAATGACTCCTCACCCCAAGCGCCCCCTACCAAAACCTTAGCCGTCGCTAACCACCCAAGGTTCCGCGCTCACAAATAAAACAAAATGTATAAATAAATCTGACAATAAAAAAATTGGATGAAAGTACCCTCAAAATATAGATCTCGACGAGAAGTATTCAACGTTGGGTAGCCCTTCAAATTCCGACTGCCGGAACACAAATTACACCTCCGGCAAGATCCACCGTCGTCGAAATACGCGCGCACTGCAAAATAATTGCCGAAACAGATCGAGCGCTCCAAACTGAATGAAATCACTACCAAAAGAAAGAGCTCCAAGAGAGAAATCCAATGGTAGTTAAACCATCGAATTCTGACCACCGGAGAGAGAGTTATGACTCCGGAAAGCAACTTCAACGGTTTGAGATCTATGGGGGCGGGATTTAAATCTGAGAGTTGAGAGAGGAAGAGAGAGACGACTGTGAGTGGCTAGGATTTAAAATTGGTTTCAAAAGGGCATTTAAGATACTTCATGGGGGCTATGTCAAATTATTATCGAAATAGAGGAAAGTTTGCACTAATGTGTAATCCACATGGTAGTTACCAAAATGAGGGGAGTCACCAAGATAATCCCAAAGAAATATTACCGTCCCTCTTAAAGTAATATATTGGGGGCTGTAGCTAAGAGCCCCACACACACACACACACACACATATATATATATATATATATATATATATATGGGGCTATATGCCAAACACCCTTCATTGATATTTTAATTCTTGATAAATTCTTTATTTATAAATGATATTTGAGATAAATCTAATGGGCTTGAAAACTCATATATATATGCCCTCATTAATTAGTATAATTATTAAAATTAAAAATACGGTAAATCAATTTCAAATCTCTCCCAAAAATCACGTTACCGTATAATTCTACCAAATATTTCTCCCCCAAATCACGGTAAAATGAACCACTCCGGCATAGCCCATTGTCCCTCGTTTTCAGAATTTCCCAAATCACGGTAGAAATTGTTCTTAATTTATCCTGAAACTAGAAGCGAAAACCGCTAGAGGCGAATTCTTGTTTTTGTACAACGGCAAGATGGTACAGAAATCAGAAGCAAAAAGTAAGTAATCGGTGCCACGGGTTGTTGATTCCCTTCAATTAGTGGAAAACCAAAATTAATGGAAATGGGTGTTCTTATTTCTTTTGTGCATGTGCTTACGGGAATGGGTAATTTTTTACAGGAAAGAGAAAATCCAAAATCGGTCCCGACATTATCCAGTTAGATGCTGGTGAGTTTTTAAATCCGTAAATGGTGAACAAAGGCGTTGATTATTGTTGTTTGTTATGACGGGTGTTTGTCTGATTATAGTTATGAATTGCATGCTTAATTTTGAAACAACTTTTTGGGTTCCAAAAATGTTGAAAGTAACAGTTCTTTGGGATGTTTTGTGATGTATGTGACGATAAATAAAACCGTATATTGGAAAAAGCGATTTTGCGTGTTTTTTGCATTTTACATCCTGGTATGGTTTGCCCATTCAGGTATGTGTATGTTCACGTTTTAAGTTTTAGTGTGATTTTTTTGTGTTCTGTTGAAACGACCAAAAGATATACGGTTTTGCTTATGCGGTTTTGAGTTGGGAACATATTTAGTGGTTTTGACTTAAGTGGTGTTTACCTATGTTCATGTGCTACATAGGTATTTTGTTTTTTGGTATTTTGTTTTTTTTTTTTTTTTGAAACCCAACAAATTTGTAAATGTATATTTTTTTTAGGTAAATTTATTTGTTTTTGTAAATTGTTGTTTGAATGTCAAAAAAAAACATGTTTAATTGACTTTGGGGTTTGATTTCTGTAAATGTGTTAGAATTAGCATTTTAATGTGCTTTTTTGGTTTCCGTTGAAACCATTCAAATATATGCAGTCTTGTTTATGCGGCTTTGAATTGTGAACATATGCCAACCATGTTCAGTGGTAATGACTTAAGTGGTTTTCATGTATGTTCATGTGCTACATAGGTTGTGGGTTTTTTAATTTTTATTTAAACCTTAAAAAAATTTTAAGTATGTTCTTATTATAAGTAATTTTGTTTATTTTTTGTAAGTTGTTGTTTTAGTGTAAGAAACATATTCAGTTGTGTGTGTGGTTTTGTAGTTAGTTTACATGTTAAGTTTTCTGGTGGTTTTCTGGGTTGGTTTTTAAACCACACAAAAGATATGTGGTTTTGGTTATGAGGTGTTAATTATGAACATATCCTGACTATGTTCAATGATATCATCTTAAGTGGTTTTCATTATTGTTACTGTGCTAAGTAAGTTATGTGGGTGCTGACTTTTTGAAACCAAAAAAAAAAAGTTGTAGGTGGTTCTGAATTACATATCTTTAAAGTCTGCACATATTATAATCAAGTTATTTTGTTTGTGTTGTTATTTGAAACCACTTAATGATTTGTGTTGTATCACTTATTTTGGGTTTTCAAGTATGATGTTTTGAATTATGTCTATTTAATTATGTGGTTTTGAATTATGTGGTTTCGCATTTTGAGTAATTCAATAATGTGGTTATAAATTATGTGCATTTGATACAAATGTTGTGTGATTTGTTTTTTCTTCAGAATTTAAAACAATTGTATGTGTTTTGAATTATGTTGTTTTGAATTGTGCAAGAATGCTAATTTTTATTTTTATTTTTTATTGTGTTATCCAAAACCACTTAATGTTATGCGTTGTATTGGTTATTAAACGGTTTTCATCAGTGTATTGTTTTGGTGTTTGTATTAATGTTAATTAGCGTTGGGGTGTATGAATATATATTACAATATATATATATTATGTTGTTTATACGCTGAGATGTGGTTGTCAATCAATAACTAACCAACAATATTTAAACACATTTACATAGATGATATCAAGAAATTGGGACAAACCGTCTGACAAGAAAAGTCATGGATGCGTCAATTCCGTGATGTTAACTCCCCAATATTGAAAGGTCCCGTGTGTTGGTTTTTATGGTTGAACAGGTTATTGGTTCAGAAATCATAGAAGAAAACGACATGGGCGTCCAAGTGTCGAGATTTCTTGAAGGCTACAGAGAAGGAAGTGTAATACAAAAACAAATATAAGGTCCAACCTTAGTCGGATTCATAAACTCGCAATTCGGTGTTAGAATTGCTCTCATCTTAATTTTCGTGGTGGTGGTAATGGCTATGATCCTGTTTATGACTAAAGGACAACCTCTGACTGTTGGCACTCGACACCAGTCCGATGATGTAAGGACTGATAAGGAGGATTGATTGTGTAACACGCATCGTTTCAATTTTGCGCATAATTATTTCGCTTTGTTCTTTAATTCAGACAAGTTGAGATAGATTCTTGTTGTTATTGCTAAATTATACGAACTTTGATGAACATCAAGTTCGTTTCTGTACAAAGTACTGGTATGTATTATTACTTTTTACGAGGAATCTTTGGTATTTCCCCATCTATTGTTCATCACTATCCTTATAGACTCTTGATTCTTCTTGTTAATTCTGCTGAGGAACGATAAACATAACTTACCAAGGAATGATGACCATAACTTATCAAATAGTATTATTATATGACTATGTTTCCGAAATATTTAACGTATACACAACGAAAAAAGATCCCACAAAAATAAAATAAAAAATGCAACACAAATCACAAAAATGAGAATCTCTGCAAGAAAAAACCTTATATGATACAATGTACAAGTTTGGCTGTCAATTGACCTTTTTACCCCTGTGAACAACAACAACATTTCGTGAACAATCGTTAACAATTAGGAAGTGATTGTGCAGATGCAAACGGTGAAAAGCTCGCATTTGACTCGTTGTAATGAAGAGTATTCTCCTGACGGATCAAAGAAGATCCAAGGTAACACGAAGAAGCGTTTGCCTGGCTTGGTATATACGGTGACATGTATCTTGAATTCAGAGGTGACAAAGAAGGGTGGCCAAACGAGTGAGGCAAAATTAGATGACCACCGTTGGATCTTTGTGATGAAGACGCATTCCTTAGATCGACGGAGCTCCTACTCGCACCTAAATGAGGATACGGATGAGGAGTGTTGGATAAAGATTGATGGCGCGAAAGAAATGAAGGATTTCGAGAAAGTGACGGAGCTATTTGCATGGCAGAAGAAGAAGACAACGAGGATCTGAAGGAGGACAAAGCAGACGAGGAAGAAACGGAGTTCGATGATGACTATTATGCACTTACACAGTTTGTGTTAAAACACGAAAACCACTTCGTATTTTGTTGAGACGAACTTCATGCTCAATTAGACTCTATATTTTGTTGAGACGAAAACCACTCTGTATTTTGTTGAAAACCACTGTATTTTGTTGCGTAAATGCACAATTATACCCATAACTTAAAAGTAACTTTGAAATCCGGCATTGTGTCAAAACCACTCAGTAATTTGAAAGATTCGATGGACTATATGCTAACTATCACATAACAATGGGGGAGTAAAGGCAGGTGCATTCATATTAACATAATTTCGAACATATATAAAACCATGACTATTGTACATTTACACAGTTTGTGTAAAAGCATGAAAACCACTCTGTATTTTGTTGAGACGAACTTCCTGTTCGTGCAATCAGATCGGTAGTAAATGTGTGGACAGAATACACATATTACGTTGAAACGGTTTCTCTATAATTAGGGGGCGGCAATCGTGGGATTATATGAGGAGGTGTTGTTACGATATAATAGGAAAATATATTACAAATCTTTTTTTTTTTAATTTCAATCCTAAAACATACGTTACTTTTAATTTTTTCAAATAAGAGAAAATTTTATTAGGCAATATTGGCCAAATCAGACGAAAGCGTAAGGTCTTTTAGTCTATCAGTACATTGAAAATGAGTAAGAGCATGGGCTAAAGAGTTGCCCGAACGCTTAACAAACGAGAAAGAAAAGCTCGAGAAAACATTTGCTAAATAAATGCATTCATCAATAATTGCACCGAATGGTAACATGTCACCACCACCCGATCGAAGTGCCTGAATCACCTTCAGAGAATCACCCTCGGAAATAACTTCGTTCCATCATTTCATAGATGCTAGCATGATGGCATGTAGAGCAGCCATAGCTTCACCTTCAACGGGATTAAGATTTCCATCAATTCTTACCACTTTCCATACAACTCACAGTCTTTCATGGTTCCTTGCCACCGCTGCAACCACTAACTTTGGTTCTCCACATCGTATAGCGACATTAAAGATGATCTTCAACACCTCCATCTCCGGTGGCTTCCACGCCTTCCCTGTGATCACCATGGCCCAAAAAAAACGTTCTCATCCAGCAAGTGTTTCATATGTAGCCACCATTTCCGTGGGGATGAAATGCAGCAGTTGGGTTGATGCCAAAAGGTGGTTTTTCTCAAACCTGGTTCATTTCTTTACATGTTGCGATAACATGTAATGCTGATTCGTTACTAGCTCCGCAATGACGACATGCAGGTGAGGTAATAATCTGGCAACGATGCATCTCTGCATTGGTTGGTAGATTGTTTCCACAAAATCTTAATTTTAGGTGGTATATGCAGCCGCCAAATGCATTTCCATTCTCGATTATTTGCTCCACTAAATTGAACCATTATTTCCGATACCCATAGGACTGGATAAATTATGATTATTAAGAATCATATGATAGGCATATCTCACCGTGAAGTTACCTTTTGTCGAATGGTGCCACACTCAAGAATCGTTTGTGTGAGGTCCGCCTAATGGAATCCCCAAGATCCTGTCCACGTCCACAACCCAAAATATGTTATGCACAAGATATAAATTCCACGAATTCAAGTCTGATTCCAATAAGTCCGAGACTCGGTCTGAGAAAGCTGAGGATATCGGTCTAGCTGTAATAATTTTGAAATTTCCGCCATCTCTGAGCCATGGATCAACCCATATAGATGTGTTTGCCCAGTTTCCTATCCAACGCCGTAGTCCAGCTTTGAGATACGGAATGGTTTTTCAAATAAAAATCCACGTCATTGATGGTCGGTAGCCATTTCCAGCGAAGAGAAGATTTCCGTGAGGAAAGTACCGGGCAGCCATTATCCGTGACATAAGAAGGATGGGAAGACCAAAATACGCCACACTTGTTTCATGATAATTGCCGTGTTAAAAGCTAGTAAATCCCTAAACCCGAGACCACCTTGTTCTTTCGATTTGCATAATTCCTTCCACGAAACCCATGCCATGCCTTTATTGTCTCACTCACCCCACCAAAAGAGTCGAATGACTCGCTCGATTTCCGAAATAAGTTCGTTGGGGGGGGGGGGGGGGGGGAAAACAACTCATGAAATAAGTTGGGATAGGTTGTAGAAATGATTTAATTAGCACTTCCTTGCCTTCTTGTGATTGATGTTTTTCACCCCAACCCTTTACACGAGTTCAGACCCGATCAGGAAAATATGAGAAGATCTTTTTTTTAGTCAGACCAATTAATGCAGGCATCCCCATATATCTATGGCCGTCTACTACCCGAAATTGAAGGATTTGTTGAATAGGTTCTCGTCGATCTAAGGGTGTCGCCGGACAAACACATATTGCATAAAATCTTCTATTCCAATAATAATTATCACTCTCGTACAATTATTTATGTACCAGGATTTGGTGCATATTTCTACGTACAAAAGGTATTTATGCAAAACTAATTGTTTATTTAAAACTTGAATCGTTTTCTTAAATCACATCGAACACATTTATTAAATTATAATATGGAAATTTTTCTGAAAAAAAAAATTATAATATGGAAAATAAAATAACTAGTAGGGATTATTTGTCAAAAGCCTCCCATTACACAAGTCTAATTACAGTAGGTCCAATTTTTTTAGAACTTTTTGAGATAAATCCATTTCAGTATTAAATAATAAAAAATAATAAATTATCACTATTATACCCCTAACTTAAAAGTAACGTATGTTTTATGACTGGAAATAAAAAAAAAAAAAGATTTGTAATATCTTTTCCTATTTTATCGTAACAACACATCCTCGTATAATCCCACGATTGCGCCCCTTAATTACCGAGAAACCGTTTCAAAGCAATCTGTAATATTTCCACACAACCTCTACCGATCCGATTGCAGGAGCACAACGTTTCGTCTTAACAAAATACAGATTGGTTTTCGTGCTTTTACGCAAACTCTGTAAGTTCATAATAGTCATGGTTTTTTTTTTTTTTTTGTGTGTTCGAAATTATGTTAACATGAATGCAACTGTTTTTTTCCCGGCCATTGTTATGTGGTTGTTAGCATATAGCCGGACGAACCTTTCAAAATACGGAGTGGTGTTCACAAATAATAGCCGACAATATTTATGCTTTTTTATTTTGTGCAAAATTATGTTAATATGAATGCAACTGCTTTTTTCCCCGACATTGTTATGTGGTTTTTAGCATATAGCCGATCGAACCTTTACAGAGTGGTTTTCACACATAATAGCCGATACCCATAATAGTCATGGTTTTTTATGGGTTCGAAATTATATTAATATGAATGCAGTTACGTAGCAAAATAACAGTGGTTTTGGTGATTTTCAGAATTTCCCCATTTATGGGTACAATTGTCCATTTACGTAGTAAAATTCAGTGGTTTTCAACAAAATACAGAGTGGCTTTTGTGTCAAGAAAATATAGAATCTAATTATGCAATACAATCGTCTTAATAAAATACAGAGTGGTTTTCGTGATTTTCCGCAAACCATGATAGTGCTTAATAGTCATGGGTTCAGCACTTTTCGAATTAATTTTAATATGAATGCACATGAGTTTTCTCCAACATTGTTATGCTGTTGTAGCATATATTTGATCGATACTTTAAAACGTCATAGTGGTTTTGATATATTGCCGGATTACAAAGTTACATGTTCGTTTTAAAATTATTATCATTGTACATGTCAGATTTATAATGTATGTTCTCAATCGTGGTAATAGGGTATTTTTTTTCCCTTTTTAATAGCATGTTTTTTTCCTTCAAAATTTACCATGTAATTATTTTGTGCAGTTTCATGGATTCAAACGTGACATTTGTGTTGAGGTTTCGAGGGATAGTTGCAATAAAGCGATGGTCTGATCGCATGAATTTTGATTCATTGATAAAATATGTTTGGTCGAAGTAGGACGCGATCAATGGACGTAACTTCACTTTGACTTATAAGCTTGACGTGTACGACGACTGCATCCTTGCGAGCGATGATGATTTGACATCAATGTTGTTCATCATGCGCGAGATTGGTGCTGGTCGTGTTGAGATAACCGTAAAGGAACAACAAATTACGGACGCAAATCTTGGTGACCATATCCAACAGCAACCGGTGCAGACCATTGTAACATTGGTCGAATATGATAGGGCCGCAGTCGTTAGTGAACAACAAAACATTGTAAACATATCAACAGGTAACGGCAAGAGATTGTTGAGTGCGGAATGGGCTAACGTAATAAAAAA